CTTTTTTCTCAATTTCCCTCTCTTCTGACACAGCTCGCTTTACTATCAGATCACATCCCTGTAACCCCTTTTCCTAACGTTTTGATTTCCTGAGCACCGCCGTACTGTTTGCTGCCCCCTTGTGGGCAAGTGGCTCCTTGCCTAGCAGAGCGGAAGAGAAAGTTCTTTGGAAGGCAGCGGGACCCCCAGTTTCTCCCCCCAGCCAAACCAACGAGGGCTGGCTGTAGGGAGCTTGCCCCGACCCCTGCCGTGGTGCAAATGCGCGCCGAGCCGGAACTGGGGAGCTGCCTTTTGCGCCTCACAGTTCAGGGCAAGCCGTGCGGAGAAGGCAGGGAGGTGACTGAGCACCCACAGGATCAGAAAAAAGCGCCCAGCAGGCAGAGGAGAAAGCCAGGTCACCTCCCCAGATTAAGAGGGTGGAGGAGAAATAGCACAGAGGACCTGAGAAGATTCAGGTTCTACGGCTTGAGCAAGAGGAGTCCCCTTATGCTTCTTAAAGCGAGTGAAAATCTTTCTGCTTGCAGACAAAAACCCTGGAGGGGCGCTCAGGTCAAAATCGGGTGTGAACTCGCCTTTTATCCCTTTATCCTTTCCTATGTCTGGTGGTAAGTCAGACCTGAAACTCAGACCTAAAATCCCCACATTCGTACCTGATTTTCACTTGCCTACTGAACACCCTTCTAAACTGAGACAAAGCTGAGCTCGGATAAGAGATTCCTCTGCTTTTCATCACAAAAGTCTTAGTGTCTAGGAAATAAAACACTTTGCTCCATTTTGTGAAAAACTCAAAATAGAGAAAAGTACAAGGAATCTGGTATTAGGATTTTAGATATGTCCTTCCTCACCACCCCTCTCCATGCTGTTTGCAAATCCGCTGCCCAAGCAGAAGGAATTAGCTGATACAATTAAAAACAAAACTGCTAATGGCTCACACCTGTAATCCTAGTGCTCCAGGAGGCTAAGGTGGGAGGATCCCTTGAGCTCCTGCAAGACCAGCTTCAGCAAAAGGAGGCTGGTCTCTACTAAAAATAGAAAAATTAGGCTTAACGCCTGTAGCTCAAGTGGCTAAGCACCAGCCACATACACCAGAGTTGGCGGGTCTGAATCCAGCCCTGCCTGCCAAACAACAATGACAACTGCAACCAAAAAACAGCCAGGCGAGTGAGACTCATTTAAAAAAAAAAAAAAAAAGGAAGGAAAGGAAGGAAATGTTGTGCTCAGGGGTTCCACAAAGACCACACTGCCAAACAAGTCAAATTTACAGCAGAGTCCTTTTATCAAAGAGCCGGCCAGCGACTGCCTCAGTGTCCCAACATGGGGTTTCTGAGAGCAGCCTCAGGTGCTCAGGGAGTTGGGTTTTTGTTTTTTTTGTTTTTGAGACAGAGCCTCAAGCTGTCCCCCTGGGCAGAGTGCCGTGGCATTACAGCTCACAGCAACCTCCAACTCCTGGGCTCAAGCGAGTCTCCTGCCTCCACTTCCCAAGTAGCTGGGACCACAGGCACCCGCCACAACGCCTGGTTATTTTTTTTTGGTTGTAGCCATCGTTGTTTGGCAGGCCCGGGCTGGATTCGAACTCACCACCTTAGGTGTATGTGGCTGGCACCTTAGCCACTTGAGCCACAGGCGCTGAGCCAACAGCGTCAACTTCTATAGCTTCTAAGAAAAAGTATACAATTTGTGTTTCTCATCTATTTGGATGACCATCTGGCAGCTAGTGGCTGGGAGAAAGAGTTAGCTTCATCTTGAAACAACTGATTGTCTATGAGGTGCCATAAAAAGATATTATTAAGAATTTGTTTTATTCTGTTTTGTTGTATTATTAGTTTTACTCGCTTATTTTTCGCTTTGTGGTAAGTTGAATCCAAGTATGTGGAGCCAAAGGATAAGGAAGGCTGATGGTATAGACATTTCCTACTTCTTACCCCTCCTCAAACACACACACACAGCCTCCCCCACCAACAGTGCCCCTCACCAGAGCTCTCTTACTCCTGATACATTTGTTACAATGAATGACGAAAAGTCGCTAGTTTATATTAGGGTCACTCTGTGTGTTAGGTAATTTTTGCCTCCTGGAATGAGTTAAAACATTCTCCCCACCACACACACACACCAATGGCTCCAGCCTGTATTCCTAGCACTACTGGATGCTGAAGGGGGAGGAGCACATGAGCCCCCAAATTTGAGGTTGCAGTGAACTGTGATGATGCCCCTGCACTCTAACCCAGGCAACAGAGTAAGATGTCATCTCAAAAAAGAAAAAAAAGAAGAAGAAGTATTTCCTCTGCTTCAATTTTCTGGGACAGATCCTGCAACATACAGCCCAATATCTCTCATGATCATAGCTGGAAAAATCCTCAACAAAATGTTATCAAATTGAATCCAACCCCATTCATCTCTAAAGATTATTAATATTATCCTTTTTTTTTTTTTTTGAGATAGAGTCTCACTGTTTCCCTCAGTAGAGTGCCATGGCATCACAGCTCACAGCAACCTCCAACTCCTGGGCTTAAGCAATTCTCTTGCCTCAGCCTCCCAAGTAGCTGGGACTACAGGCACCTGCCACAATGCCAGGCTATTTTGTGGTTGTAGTTGGCCTGGGCTGGATCCAAACCCGCTAGCTCTGATGTATGTGGCTGGCACCCTAGTCTGTGAGCTACAGGCCCTGAGCCAATACTATCCATTTGAGATTAAGGATTACATAATAGAGATTAAATGCATACACTTTTTTTTTGAGACAGTCTTATTTTGTTGCCCTCAGTAGAGTGCTGTGCATCATATCTCACAGCAACCTCAAATTCTTGGCTTCAAGTGATCCTCTTGACTCAGCCTCCTGAATAGCTGGGATTATGGGCACTTGCCACAATGCCCAGCTATTTTTAGAGACAGGGTCTTTCTCTTGCTCAGCCTGGTCTTGAACTCCTGAGCTCCCTACCTCAGCCTTCCAGAGCGCTAGAATTACCAGTGTGAGCCACTACTCCTGGCCTATAACACTTATTTTTATGTTTTTATATATTTCCTAGGTACTCCAAATTTATTTATATGTAGTATTCCTCCAGAAATGATACCATTAAGAGTTAATACAGTTAATTGGATGTAGGTTAATTCATTCAACCTGGGATGGAGCAGATCTTGTACTTAAAAAAAGAAAGAAAGCAAGAAAATCCATGGCACTGATTCCAGTGCTTAGATTATGTGTCCACTATGGCTTTTTTTTTCATGAAATGATAACTATGTACATTAATGCAATTCTGGGGTACAGTGTGGTGTTTTCATATACAATTTGAAATATTTTCATCAAACTGGTTAACATAGCCTTCATGTCATTTTCTTAGTTATTGTGTTAAGAAAATCATATTCTACTCTTAGGTGTCCACTATGTTTTATGGATAATTGAACTGAGATTTGTTCAGACCATTTGAAGATCGTAATTAACGGGGCATTCTCAGCTGGCTTGCTGGAGTAGTACATCCCGCTACAGAGCCAGGCTCCAATGATGGGAAAGTTTCTAGCATCTATTCAATTTATTTCCTTAGCTCTAAAACCACAGCAAACATTCAGGTCACAGTGTAGGATGAGAAGAACAGTTGAACAATGTTTCGCAAGCTTCCAGAGCAGCTGGGACTACATGCACACACCACCATACCCAAGTTTTATCTTCTCTTTTCTTTCTTTCCTTCTTTCTTTTTTTTTGTAGAGACAGAGTCTCACTTTATCGCCCTTGGTAGAGTTCTGTGGTGTCACACCTCACAGCAACCTCCAACTCCTGGGCTTAGGAGATTCTCTTGCCTCAGCCTTCCGAGTAGCTAGGACTACAGGCGCCCACCACAACGCCTGGCTATTTTTTTGTTGCAATTTGGCCAGGGCTCGGTTCAATTTGCCACCCTCAATATATGGGGCTAGCGCCCTACTCACTGAGCCACAGGCGCCACCCAATTTTTTCATTTTTTTTAAAGAGATGGGATCTTGCTAACTTGCCCAGACTGGTCTTCAACTCCTGGCATCATAGGATTCTCCTGCCTTGGCCTCCCAAAGTGCTAGGATTAGGATTAATCCTAATCCACCTGGCCACAAACCAGTGATTTTGATTTTGATTTGATTGATTGATTAATTGATTGTGGTTTTGGCCAGGGCCAGGCTTGAAGAAGCCAGTGATTTTTAAACTGTGGGTCATTAAATAAGGTTTGTGGATTACCATCTTTAAAAAAACTAAAGCAATAATCCTACCACTCTGGGAAGCTAAAGTGGGAGGATCCCCTGAGCTCAGCCTGAGTAAGAGAAAGACACAGTTTCTACTAAAAATAGAAAAATTAGCTGGCATGGTGGCACTTGCCTGTAGTCCTAGCCACTCCGGAGGCTGAGGTAGGAGGATCACTTGAACCCAGGAGTTTGAGGTTGCTGTGATCTAGGCTGAGGCCATGGCATTCTAGCCTGGGGCAACAGAGTGAGCCCGTCTCAAAAAAAAGAAAAGAAAAGAAAAACAACAACCGACCCTCACAAAACAACCCTCTCCAACTAAATCAGGCTTAAATATATTAAAATGCTGTTCAGGTAGCAAGGGTAAGTTTTGCCAACCTTTTGTTTCAAGTCTTTAATGTCATGTTGTAAAAGTGACTTGTGTTTGAGTCACAGTTAAAAGCATTTCTGTGGCACCGAGATGCGGGGTACCTGAGGAAGTTTTGTAGTGGGGCGAGGCGTAAGTAAGACTTGGGAGAAATCCCCCGCCTGGAAGGGAAGCTACTGCCCGCCCGGCATCTGGACTGGATTAATGCGCCCTCCCACGATTACGAGAACGGATTGGCTACCCCGATCCAGGAAGGCCGGGCCCACAATGCTCGCCGGCCAATGTCTGTGTCGCAAGAGCAGCGTGGGGCGGGGCGAGCCTCGTGCGGGCTCTTTGAGGTGCGGCTGCGTGGCGGCCCCGGCATGGCAGGCTTACGACGGCAGGGTCGGGCGGTGCAGAGCGGACTGGAACGACGTCGGACGCACCCGTTCTTAGAGCCATGTCCAGGCAAGAAGCAGGAACTAACGCCTCTACTGGGGTCGTTGCTTCCCGGCGAAGCTCGACAGTGTCGCGCGCTCCAGAGAAGTGGCCAGGGGCGGAACAGAATCGCTCAGGTCTCGGGGCGCGTAGGGGCGGCAGAGGTGGCGACGAGACGGACTACTCTGATTTCCTGGGGTCCAGAGCCGCTGGTCTGGAACCGCCCATCTGTTTTGAGTTAAAGAACCACTTTGTAGGCGTGGTGATAGGTGAGAGCAAAAGAATGGCTATGGAGGGGGAAGGATCGTGAGTTGGGCTAGGGGCAGAGCCAGGGCAAGGGCAAGGACACTTCCTCCCCACTCACCTTCTCTCTGCCAATTCAGGTCTCCCTGAGCTGTGTCTAAGACCTTCTGGTGCTAGAATAGTGTCATTTAATTCATCTTTTATTTTAAAGAGAAAATGTATTGGGAAGAGCAGTTCCTAGAAAATTTATGAAATCTTAGGGATGAACAGGCATGTTTAAAAAGATCAGGGCTTTTGACAGCTTACCCCTAAATGAACAATGAAATTCTTGAACTCAGTCTGCTTCTTTGAGCACCATTTAAAGCCATTAATCAAAGGAATGGTGTAGGAAATTGTAGGTCTGCACAGAGCATCAGCTCTATCTTGCTTTTACTTTATGTATGATTTATCTGCTGAAAAACAGGATTTTTTTTCCCTTTTTGTACATTCAGAGTCTAAGAAATTGATTCCTGAATACTTTTGTTAGAGACAGGGTCACTGTAACTGAGGCTAGAGTTCAGTGGTGGAATCATAGCTCACAGTAACCATGAACCCCTCTACTCCCAGGATTCTCCTGCCTCAGCCTTCTCCAAATGGAGGACTACAGGCATAGGGGAACACTCCTGGCTAACTTTATTTTTGTAAAGGTGGCATCTCACTATGTAACCCAGGCTGGTCTAAACTCCTGACCTGAAGCAATACTCCCACCTCAAAAAGGGCAGGGTTTTTTCTTTTCTTCCTCTCCCCACCCCCAACAGTTTCTGTTGACATGGGTAGAGTGCCCTGGTGTCAGATAGCTCACAATAATCTCAAACTCTTAGGCTCAACTGATCCTTTTGCCTCAGCCTCCCAAATAGCTGGGACTACAGGCGCCTGCCACAATGCCCAGCTAGTAGTAGATGGAATTCAACTCTTGCTCAGGCTGGTCTCAAACTCCTGTGTTCAATCCACCAGCCTCCGCCTCCCAAAGTGCTAGAATTCAGGAGTGAGCTACCCTCAAAGTGCTTTGATTCACAGGCATGAATCACTATGCATAGCTAATTCCCAATTTTTTTTTGAAAAATGTTTAAAAATGATTAGGATGATTTGCCAACTTATTACCATTAAGACTCAATATAAATTATATTTTGTTAGGTATTGGAGTTAGAAGGATGGTATTTCTATTATAGAGAAAGACTAGATTTGTAATAAAACCACTTAAGCTGCCAGCAGTTACTGAGCAGCTAGCTGTAAAGTGCAGGCAGTTTGCTATAGCGCACTCACTTTATGTTGGATATAAAACGAACTGTTTTTATTTTTTTATTTTGTTTTATTTTTTTGAGACAGAGCCTCAAGCTGTCGCCCTGGATAGAGTGCTGTGGCCTTACAGCTCGCAAGCAACCTCCAACTCCTGGGCTTAAGCAATTCTTTTGCCTCAGCCTCCCAAGCAGCTGGGAATACACCTGCCACAACACCTGGCTGTTTTTTGGTTGTAGTTTTCATTGTTTGGCCACCCCAGGCTGGATTCGAACCTGCCAGCTCTGTTGTATGTGGCTGGTTCCTTGGCTGCTTGAGCTACAGGTGTCAAGCCAAACCAACTGTTTTTAATTGTTTTAAAAAATGACCCTTTTCACTCAAATGACCCTTTCAAAATGACCCTCAGCCCTAGGAGGCTGAGGTGGGTGGATTGCTTGAGCTCAGGAGTTCAAGACCAGCTTAAGCAAGAGCAAGACCCTGTCTCAAAAAAAGGGGGGAGGCGCTGGGGGCCGGGCTCACACCTGTAATCCTAGCACTCTGTGAGGAAAAGGCAGTTGGATCACCTGAGCTCATGGGTTCGAGACCAGCCTGAGCCAGAGTGGGACTTCATCTCTAAAAAAAAAAGCCAGATGTGGTGGTGGATGCCTGTGATCCCAGCTAGTTGGGAGGCTGAGGCAAGAGAATCCCTTAAGCCCAAGAGTTTGAGGTTGCTGTGAGCTGTGACACCAGAGAACTCTACCAAGGGCACCAAAGTGAGACTCTGTCTTGAAAAAAAAATTACTCTCTAGTTAAGTATACAGTGCATTGTTATTAACAATAATCACAGTGTTGTAGTCCAGATCTTTAGAACTTGTATGACTAAAACTTTATATTCATTGAACAACTCTTCATTCCTCCCGGTCCCTATTCCAGGGAACCACCGATTGTTTACCTCAGGTATGTAGAACCATGCAGTAATTTTCTCTTTATGATTGGCTTGTTTCATTTAGAGTAATGTCCTTCAGGCTCAGTGATATTCCATTATTATGTATATACCTGACTGTTAATCTATTTCTCAGTTGCTGGACACATGGGTTGCTTCCACCTTTTGACTTCTGAATAGTGCTACTATGAACGTGGGAATGTATATATCTTTTTCTACTTTTTTGTGTATACCCTGGAGTGGGAGTGCTGGTTCACATGGCAGCTTAATTTTTAAATTTTTAGGAAATTTCATACTCTAATCCATAGTGGCAGCACCAATTTACAATCCCACCAATAGTCCACAAGGATTCCAATTTCTCCATCCTCACCAACATTAGTTATTTTTCATTTTTAGTAATGGCTGTCTTAACAAGCAGTGAGGTGATAGCGCCTTGTGATTTTGATTTGCAGTTACCTGATTGCTATTGAACATCTCATGCCTTTGGTAATTTGTATGTCATTGGAAAAATGTCTGTTCAAGTCCTTTGTAATGTAAAAGCCTTCCAGTTTCTCTGCATCTTGTCCAACACTTGGGATCCAATTTTTGAGTGAGCTGATATAGAATCCTTCATCTACATCTCTGGGTAAAGAGCCTCATACTAACCACCAAAATTTGGAATATAAATCCCTTCCGTCTTTCCACAGACAAAGTGATTATTGATCCCCAGCAGCCTTTGATTAATTTAGGGGAGAAACTGGAGAAGGTTCTTTGAGGAAAATAAGTAAATCTCTGTTAATTGGGTTTTTGACACAAAGTCTTACTGTTATCCCAGGCTAGAGTGCCATGGCCTCACCCATCAACAGGCCTGGCTAATATTTTTATTTTTTAGTAGAGACAGAGTCTCAGTCAGGCTGGTCTGAAACTCGTGAGGTCAAGGGATCCTCCTCCCTTGGCCTCCCCAAGTGCCAGGATTATAGGTGCGAGCCACTGCCCCCCTCCCACCTAATTTCAATTTATTATCATATATTCTTTTGTTTTTAAAAACAGGTCCTGGTGGGTCAACAATAAAAGATATCCAAAGTACAACAAGCACCAAAATACAGGTAAGTCATTGTATTCTTAATCCCTAAAAGACCTTAGTTCATAACTAAGGGAGCACCTTCTCTAATTTCTGCTCAATGATTAAGTTAACATCCTAAGATCAATTGAGTTGTCAAGGCTCTTCAAAATACTGTTCTCAAAAACCCAGGTAGGGTTTCAGGTGAAGGTTTTGTGACTCAAGGTAAAAAGTTTTAGAGATAATCTCTAACAGAGATGACAAGATGACATCTTTGTACTACTCAGCATCCCCCAAATGACTCCCTTCCAGATCCCCTTTTCTCAGACCTTGATGGGAGCCTGTGTTCTAAATGTTACTGAAAGGTAGCAGTGTTCGCTGAGTTCTCAAGCCAGAAATCTCTGATCATCACTGTGTACACCCCTCTCCTTATCCTCATCCACCACCGAGTTTTGTCTATTTCCTGCACTTCTCAAGGGAAATGCCATCATTGCATTCCATTCTTATTGCCTTGCCTTCTAACCAATCTCCAACGTGGTCAGAACAATCTTTGTAAAACTAATTATGTATTTATGCTGGTTTATTGCACAAAAACCTTTCATAGTATCTCAGGCCCTTAAGGCCAGACTCTAGCATGGTTGTCTTGATCTGGCCTGTTGACTCTCTGTTCTCTTCCGGACTCACTCTTGAGATTCCACCCATTTTCTGGCACTCTATCTTAGCCATCTTCTTATAAATCTGAAATTATGCATGTTTAAAGATGTTATTCATAGACTGGGTCCACAAAATGGCATGTCAGCCATGTAAACTGAACTCCCTAATGGTATACCCATCAAGTTAAACCTTTACTTAACTATTAGTTCAATAAATGCTTACCTACATGGTATAGAGGTTAATCTACTTAAGCCATACAATTCAGTAAGATTAGCCAAATTAATACCACCATTTTATACATGGGAGAACTCAGACCCACAGTAATATTACCTGTCAGATCAATACCTTAGTTTTTCTTTCTACTCGATGTGATGAATTTATTCCACAGCTTTTTTTTTTTTTTGAGACAGAGTCTCAAGCTGTCGCCCTGGTAAAGTGCTGTGGTGCCCCAGCTCACAGCAACCTCCAACTCTTGGGCTTAAGCAGTCCTCTTGCCTCAGCTTCCCAGGTAGCTGGGACTACAGGTGCCCACTACAATGCCCAGCTATTTTTTGGTTATAGTTGTCATTGTTGTTTGGCAGGCCTGGGCTGGATTCGATTCCATTGTTGTTTGGCAGCTCCAGTGTATGTGGCTGGCACCCTAGCCACTTGAGCTACAGGTGCCAAGCCATAGCTGTTTCCTTTTTTTTTTTTTTAGAGACAGAGTCTCACTTTGTTGCCCGCAGTAGAGTGCGGTGGCATCGCAGCTCACAGTAACCTCCAGCTCTTAGGCTTAGGTGATTCTCTTGCCTCAGCCTCCTGAGTAGCTGGGACCACAGGTGCCCACCACAATGCCTGGCTATTTTTTTGTTGCAGTTTGACCAGGGCTGGGTTCAAACCCGCCACCCTCGGTATATGGGGTCAGTGTCCTATTCACTGAGCCACAGGAGCTGCCCATATAGCTGTTTTCTTTTTTTTTGAGACAGAGTCTCACTTTGTCAACTTTGGTAGAGTGCTGTATAACGTCATGGCTTACAGCATCCTCAAAGTCTTGGTCAGACTCAAGTGATTCTCTTGTCTCAGTTTTTCATTTTTAGTAGAGATAGATGGGTCTCACTCTTGGCCAGGCTGCTCTCGAACTCATGAGCTCAAGCAATCTACCCCCACCCCTTGGCCTCTCAAGAGTGCTAGTGCTGTTAGGTTTTTTGTTTTTTTTAGTTTTTTGTTTAGACAGTCTCAAGCTGTTGCCCTGGGTAGAGTGCTGTGGTGTCACAGCTCACAGCAACCTCCAAGTCTTGGGCTTAAGTGGTTCTCTTGCCGCCACAATGCCCGGCTGTGTTTTTTTTTTTGGTTGTAGTTGTTGTTTGGCAGGCCCAGGCTAGATTTGAACCCACCAGCTCTGGTGTATGTGGCTGGTCCATAGCCGCTGAGCTACAGGTACCAAGCCAGAGGGGTTTTTTTTGTTTTTTGTTTGTTTTGTTTTGTTTTTTTGAGATAGTCTCACTATGTTGCCCTCGGTAGAGTGCCTTGTCATCACAGCTCACAGCAATCTCCAATTCTTGGGCTTAAGCAATTCTCTTGCCTCAGCCTTCCGAGTAGCTGGGACTAAAGGTGCCTACCACAATTTCTGGCTATTTTTTTGGTTGCAGTTGTCATTGTTGCTTGGGAGGCCCAGGCTGGGCTCGAACCCACCAGCTTTGGTGTATGTGGCCAGCGTCCTACTCACTGAGCTATGGGCACCAAGCCAAGCTGTTATTTTTTTTGTTGTTGTTTGTTTGTTTTGAGACAGAGCCTCAAGCTATTGCCCTGGGTAGAGTGCCATGGCATCACAGCTCACAGCAATCTCTAACTCCTGGGCTTAAACGATTCTCTTGCCTCAGCCTCCCAATAGCTGGGACTACAGGGACCCACCACAACGCCCGGCTATTTTTTGGTTGTAGTTGTCATTGTTGTTTGGCAGGCCTGAACTGGATTTGAACCCGCCAGCTCTGGTGTATGTATATGGCTGGTGCCTTAGACGCTTGAGCTACAGGCACCCACCAAAGCTATTAGTTTTTAATTTAGATTGTCCTGCTCCTCCCCATCCAAATGGGAGATCAATTCCAGAGTGGATATAGGTAGTATGTCTGTCAGATTAGAAATTCAGATGTTGTTTGATAACAACAATACTGTATCTACTTTATGCTTTTTCATTTTTTGAGATAGTCTCACTTGGTTGCCCTGAGGTAGAGTGCCATGGCATCATAGCTCAAAGCAACTTCAAAGTCTTGGGCTCAAGCAGTTCACTTGCCTCACCTTCACAAGTAGCTGGGACTACAGGCACTTGCCATAATGCCTGGCTAATTTTTAAGAGACAAGGTCTTGCTTTTGCTCAGGCAGGTCTTGAACTCCTGAGCTCAGATAATCCACCCGCCTCAGCCTCCCAGAGTGCTAGGATTACAGGTATGAGCCACTGCACCCAAGCTATGCTTTTATACTTTTTGAAATTGAACATTTTGCTGGCGATCTGAGGGGAATTAAGTCTCACATTTTTCTCTTTGTATCTAGATAATAAAAGGACCTCAAGAATCATTAGTCAAAATATTTGGCAATAAGGCAATGCAAACTAAAGCAAAAGCAGTGATAGATAATTTTGTTAAGAAACAAGAAGAAAAATATTATTCACACAGAGTTGGTAAGTAGGTTTTTCCACTGAAGCCCTTTAAAATGTTGTAAATGTCCTTCGGTGGTATAAGCCATTATACCTGATTTCCTTTCCTGCTAGAAAGCATTAGGATCCACTCATAAATCTATAAATCTACTCTTATCAATCTATAAATCTACTCTTATCAATCTTTTCTATGAAAGCCCAGGATAGTTTTTTCTTCAAATTAAAACTGCTTTGGCTCAGAGCCTGTGGCTCAAGTGGCTAAGGTGCCAGCCACATACACCTGAGCTGGCAGATTCGAATCCAGCCCAGGCCCACCAAACAACAATGACAGCTGCAACCAAAAAACAACCAGGCATTGTGGCAGGCGACTGTAGTCCCAGCTATTTAGGAGGCGGAGACAGGAGAACCACTTGAGCCCAGGAGCTGGAGGTTGCTGTGAGCTGTGATGCCACGGCACTCTACCTAGGGCAATAGCTTGAGGCTCTGTCTCAAAAAAAAAAAAAAAGCTTAATACCTGATTAAGCCTAACAGTTTTACTTTTCACAGGTAAATGACAATGAAATAACCTTTTTTTTAGTTTTTTTTTTGAGACAGAGTTTCACTATGTCACCCTTGGTAGAGTGCTGTGATGTCACAGCTCATAGCAACTTCCAACTCTTGGGCTTAAGCAGTTCTCTTGCCTCAGCCTCCCAAGTAGCTGGGACTACAGGTGCCTGCCATAACACCCAGCTATTTTTTGGTTGCAGTTGTCACTGTTATTTAGCTGGCTTGAGCTGGGCTCAGACCACTAGCCTCCATGTATGTGGCTGGCGCCATAACCACAGTACTACGGGTGCCGAGCTGAAATGACCTTTTAATGCACCTACTTTAATATTAATGGTAAAGATTGGTCCTGGCCTCCTGACTCATCCCCAGATTCATGACTGACTGAAAACTGCTTACATTTTTGGTATTTGAAAAATCTCAGATCTGTATTAAAGAGGAAAAAAGTGGGCTCAGCACCTGTGGCTCAAGTGGCTAAGGTGCCAGCCACATACACCTAAGGTGGCGGGTTCGAATCCAGCCCAGACCTGCCAAACAACAATGATGGCTGCAACCAAAAAATAGCCGGGCATTGTGGCGGGCGCCTGTAGTCCCAGCTACTTGGGAGGCTAGGGCAAGAGACTCGCTTGAGCCCAGGAGTTGGAGGTTGGAGGTTGCTGTGATGCCATGGCACTCTACCCAGGGGGACAGCTTGAGGCTCTGTCTCAAAAAAAAAAAAAAAAAAAAAGGAAAAAAGCCATCATTGAACCATATCTAGAAGCAACACAGAAGTAGAACAGGGAGATGTGGGTTCAGATGGCAGCATTGCCTGTTAGTGTTTTTTGGGAAAAAACTTACTCCCTAAAGCCCCATTTCTGCATCTGTTACCCTGGGGCAATTCTGCATCACAGAACTACTGTGAGGATTAAGTAATATGTACTGACAGCATTTCAGCACACACTAGACTCCAGGCCAGTTTCCTTCCCTACTGCAATGAATTAAATTTTTAGTAAGTTGTTAAATGATAACAAGATCCATGAAAAGGTCATGGCACTATTCTATGGAAACCCCAGATTTTGTATTTTAAGCATTATCCTCTGGTTACTAGAAAATAATAGGAAAAAACTAACCTGGTAAAATACTTTCAACAGATATTGTTGCATTCCAACCTTCTGTTGGAAGAGGTCGCGGCACGGATAACAATGTTGCTGCAGAAGACCGGCCTTTGATAGACTGGGATCAGATTAGAGAGGAAGGTTTGAAATGGGAAAAAAAAAAGTGGGCAGGTTAGTGCTGCATCTTAATATTTTATATCTGCCATTTTTTATTATTGGTAAAAGGTCTGTGCCTTATTTTTAGTGACAAAATGTGTATCAAAAACAATTTTAAGTGATGCAATTCTGTAGGTCATGATAATTTATATGTTGTCTCTTGTGATTTATACTATAAATGGAAGATTAAATATACTTTGTCTTATTTGAGGTTACTTGCTGCAATAGGTTAATAGAATGTTAATAAATGAAAATCAGGCCCCAGGGAAAATGTAAAGTGAATGAACATGCAAACTTTGGACAAAACTTTAAATCACAGAAAGCATAACGGTTTTTGAGATTAGCTTCCTTTTTTGTTTGAATTTTATTTATTTTTAAAGCTTTTCATATCTCTTAATATTTTTTCTTATTTCTCTTTTTAATTTTTTTTTCTGGGACTTAGTGAACTTCATTTTTTTTTTAATGTTATTTCATTGCTGGCTCAGTGCCTGTGGCTCAAGTGGCTAAGGCGCCAGCCACATACACCTAAGGTGGTGGGTTTGAATCCAGCCCGGACCCGCCAAATGACAATGATGACTGCAACCAAAAAATAGCCTGGTGTTGTGGTGGGTGCCTGTGGTCCCAGCTACATGGGAGGCAGAGGCAGGAGACTTGCTTGAGCCCAGGAGTTGGAGGTTGCTGTGAGCTGTGATGCCATGGCACTCTACCCAGGGGGACAGCTTGAGGCTCTGTCTCAA